TTCCCTGCCTGATCTGCTTCTCTGCTTTCTATTTCCTGACCAATCTGCTACTCTGTTTTCTGCCTTGTACTCTCTGCCTGATTGAATGATAGGTTTTCTGCTCCTTTCTGTATGTCACTTGTGCTGCCTGTCCCCTCTCTGATTTGATGCATGCCACTTGTACTTCTCTACTTGGCTACCTCTAGTCCAAAGCTCATATAAAGATATCCAAGATAGCTTTAATCTACCCCATTTGTAATGACAGGAGTTACACTATCATGGCACTTCAATATATATCTAGGGCCTGGGTTTTTTCAGCCTGCGCAGCTACCCTGCTACTGGTGCTCCTGCTGGCTCAACTACATCTGCTTGTGTTGTAGTAGCACCCTGTAATTATAGTCACAACCTCAATTTGGAGGAGATCGCAGTCACCCTACATTGTCACTTGACTGAACAGTGCATAAATAAAGGTCTACACACTTACCAGCACCTGTTTGGCTCGTTCCACCTCCCATTTCAAACTGGATCTGATCTCACTGACCGTTACATACCCCTTTTTCTGAAATAAAGAAGAGAAAGAGGGAGTCGGAGCCTGTTCATGTCAAGGCAGCTGTTTAAAGACCGAACAAGCTCCTCACTATCTGCTAATGATCAGGACTTCAGAGTCCATAGTTGGAGACACTGGCTATATATCCAAATACTCTTTATTTTCCACACACGTTGAAGCCCTTGATTTTTGTTCAGGTTATAATTTAGATTCTTTATACATCTGTTTCCTGTCAAGGGAACCATATGGCCTTATAGGAGGTTTCTACTAAAGAATCCCTTGCCCCCAATACCTCTGCCAGCTGCAGAACCACTGTATGATCCATGTTCAGTTCAGCTGGCACAGACTGGATTAGGTATGTTCCTCCAACAGGAATAATCCCAAAGCCACTGCCCAGAACTTTCAGCTTCTTGATTGCACGAATGAGATCATCCCTGAGAACAGGGAAGAGAAAATAAGATTTGAAAGAAAGCCTTTTGCTCTTCAGCTGAGCTCGATGCCAATATACCATATTTACTCAAATATAAGATGACCCCTCCACCCATCATAAGATTTGCCTTGAAGTTTTGAAGTTGTCTCCCTCCCACTGTAACAACAGAGAAAATAAATCTGGGGAGGGGCAACTCCTTCCCCTCTGCCTTCCCTCCCACCCCACAAATTTTCCCCTGCAGCCCCTTCCCTTCCTCTGTCATCAGATCCTGCTGTCCTTGAGCACATGAAAGTGAGGAACAAATCTAAAAACACCAACTTTGAAATAAACAGCTGTAGCAATTTGCACATAGTATACCCACAGATTTAGTTCCTTTAGAATTGATGCATGTTGCCTTTTTTGAAACTGCTGCAAATGTTATCACAGATACTCCATAAACAAACTTTTAAGCAACACTGGAATATATACAGTACAAACTATGCTTTTTTTTTTGCAAAAATATTTATTCCCATATATATTGCAGTACTTCAGCTGAACTGTCCTGTGGCTGCTATGGTTCACCTGACAGTCCAAAGCACATCATTGCCATTACATTGTACAGTCACAGTATCTGCAGTGTACCCACAGTCCCTTGTGTCTACACACCTGTGTGACCATCACCAACTATGCATGATATTAGTCCAAAGCCAAAGGGCTCATGATTTAACCATACAGGTCACTGAGCTGGGCCCCAGCAGAGTCAACAGCATTTCAAGCCCTGGTGATCCCAGAGCCCGGCACCGTTCAGTATGTGTGTGTTCCAGATACCCTCCCCACAAAGGATATGTGTGTGAATTAGCCCCACACTCATGACTAGAACTGTCTGTTCTTGTCATAAATCCTGGAATCCTCCAAAAAATTACATGCTGATAAGGTGCAAGGCAACCTGGTCCAACTTCACCTCATGGAGGGTAGGGTCACACTTATCAGACTGAGAGGGGACAACATAGGGATTCTAGGTGAACTGTTTGGGGCCCCCTTTGGTGATGTTTGCCAGACATTTAAGGCTAGTGAAGAAACAAGAATCACTGGAAACGGGTAAGAAAGGTACAGCTCAGCTGTGGGAGTGAAAAGGAAGTAAAAATGTATACAGTATAGTGGCTCAACATGACTTGGAAAAAAAAGTCAGTGATGAGGAGGGATTGCACTCACTTGGTACCACCGCACACATACTACTCAAATGGACTGCACTAACTTACCATTGTAGCAGGATGCCTGCCATGGATTTGAGAGTACCTGAAGCCCCAGGGTATTTGGTGGTAGTGCCACACAGGCTTGAATGACTGAGCTCTGCTCAGTGAATATAACTTAGAATTGATTTGGCCCGAGAGGTTTTTCTAAATTACATAAGTGTTAAGTGCCCATCAGCATATTTAGCACTAGGGGAGAGTGTCAGGCCTTGCTCTGGCCTCTCAAGAGTGCTGGCCTGGTGCTGTAGTACCTCTAGGTTTGGTACTCATTCCCTCTTGGGGAAGCAACTACCTGTTTTATTTTGTTTTAAGAGCTACAAAAATAACTATTGTTTCTTGGCCTTTTGAGCTAAGATCAAGTGAGACTGGGGGCATCTGAAACCCAAAGCCTCTGGAGCTGGAGCTTGCACATAGGATGCCTGCCTGGATTTGAGGAGTATCCCATTGGTCTGGGAGGGAGAATACTTGCCCAGTGGCAGAACCATGAATTAGAGCCATAGACTTGAAGACTAGACTTCATAGTTGGTTTCCACTACTGTGCACATGCTGCTTGTGGCAGCAGTTTAATAGATAATGGTTTTAATGAAGTTTCCTTGTGTATGAATATTAGGCGAGGGGCTTTTTTCCTCCATGCTGACTGGAGGGGGAAAACCCTGTCCTATATTTGAGTAAATATGTATTCTTCTTGTTTACTAGAAACAGCTGCAAGCAGCAGCATAAACTTTGAAATGCAGAAGTCATCCATGAACACATGTTCCTAGGAAATTATCTTGACTGTCCCTTTAAACAGCTACCAGTGAACACGTACAATGTAAAAGAGCTAAAAATAGTTCCCTAAAGTGATTTTTTTTTTTTTTTTAAAAGAAATATCAGCTGGGTTGCCTGTTCATATCCACTCTGCTTGAGTGATTGAGTGCACTTATGTTATCTACAAATACTGATTCTCTTCAACAGTTTGAGTGGTCGTGCAAATCTATTTTGATATCACACTCCTGAGAGAAGGGGAAACGGGCAGAAATGCTGTTGGGTTCCTTACAGCCCCAGATGTCCTGGCGAAAGCAAGAGTCCAGTGGTGGAAGACCTAAAGTGACAAACAGATTGGTCTCTGCAGCTAGGCATTTTGTCCCGAGTTAATCGAACCTAAAACATTGAGCCCTTATGCCTGAAGCCCAGGCATTGACAAAGCTTGCATGAAGGGGGCAGAGGAGAGAAATTAAACTTTTAACTGCAGGAGACATGAGTTACAAACTAGGCATTACTTGCAATGGAGCTGCTTTTTGTGGTTCCACTTCACAAATATAAGTCAGTTTAGGGTTTCCATTAAGAGCAGAACTTTTAGGTTCCTACTAAGAGAAGCTCTTGGGTGATCTATACTCACTGGCTGACATCCTGAGCAAACTTCCCCCTTCCCTTCAGCACTTGCTGATGAAGCTCTTCCAGTGTTATGAGACCTAGACAGAAGAGGGGAGGTGATGTTACTACACAGCAAAGGAAGGTTCCTCCCATACGCCGTCCTATTACTTGAATTTCCTTTCTGTGTTTGCCATTAGACTGCACATCCCTTGTATTTTACATCATCATTTTAATCTATAGCTCCATGTGCTTTTCACTGCATTCAAATTCTCAGTTCTGGGTAGATCTGAATTCCTAGAATGCAAGTGCTTGGAGAGTTCACCACTATCTTCTCACTGAGGTATCAGACTCACTTTTATTACAGCACATATATTTCTCATCAATAGTTAGATGGTACTATCTATAAGCGTTTTGGGGTAGGGACTGTCTTTTGACAGGGCCTGGCACACTGGTGTCCTGGTCCAGAACCCACTAGAAGTGCTACTGCATTACAAATCAACAGATGCCACACCCAAGATATCAATTTCCAATAATACTCATATAATAAGACCCTCACTCCAGAAGTATTTCTAGATCAAACCCTCCTTATTAATGATATCCTGAGCAATAGGAAAGTTTTTAAAAGCAAGGGTTCTATCAGGTTGTTAGATACAGTACCCCCAAAATATCTGAGTACCCTTATGTACCCAATAACAAGAGAGTCCTCTGTCTAAAAAGTCAATTACAGATCCCTTACTATGAAATACAGTATTGGTACAGATTCACCAGAGTATGACTGGCTTCCTTGTGGCACCAGCAGGCATTGTGTTCACTGCCAAAATAGGGAAGAACTGATCGATTGGCTCAGTTTTTATAGTAAGACAGCCGATGCATACTGGTGGTTTCACTAAAATCCCAAGAGAGACATGGCACAGGGGGGGGCTGTTACTCCACTGTAGGGAGACAAGGTCAACACCTTCTACCACACCTGAACTCACCTACTTACATCAACGGTAGTCTCCAACAGATTGTAGCCAACCCATGTTATCTTGCTAGAAAAAGGCATTTAGAGCAGTGAAGATAACAGCTTCTAAAATTGCCAGTACCCGGCACTTCTGAAAACCTCACACAGAGCCATGAACACCAGGAAGGTAGTCAAGAGCAAGCGTTTCAAGAAGACGAAGCCAGCTCCTGTAACCATCCACCTAGTGGAAGCCAGTATTTGCTCAGTGCAGTGTAGAGTCCTCACCTCCATTTCTGTGCTTTAGAGCTAGACAGACTTCAATAATCTGAACACCCAACTCATAGTAAAAGTCTCCAACTCCCAGCATCTCTGACCAGAAGCCTTTCCCAGCTGTGAAGGAAGATTTGGGGGGGGAAGGGTGAAACAAAGGGATCAGATTAATTGTCTCCATTAATACCCTTCACAGAGAATTAATTATATGAGTATAGCTACTGAGTCCTAAACACCACATCCTAAATTGTTTTCATGGCTGGGCCTTGTGAAAAAGTAAAGGAGCAGCCCAGACAGGGGTAAGAGATCCATAAGCCCTATCGCTTGGCTGGACATTATATGCAAGGTAAGGGAAGATGAACCCAAGGGGAAAGGAGTTTTTCTATTTTCCACTGGCTGCTGGTAGCCAAAAAGAAGCTCCTAAGGAAGGAGTTGGCAATGTTTTCCTTCAGGGAAGCCAAGATGACCCAACTTGGGTTGGAGGCAGAAGGGCTAATGCCCTGAACCTAGCTACCACTGCCACTTCTCCCTTCTGCTCAGCTACTATCCAGCAAAAGCAGAAGTCACCTATTCTCCACTGGAGCCTGTGCTGCTCAAGTGTGGCATGGCAGGAGCATTTGGGGACTCTCTCATGGGGAGAGTTTCCTACCACCAAAGCCACAGCCTTGCAGGCCAAATCCAACGGTTACTGACCCCTGCTCTAAGGAATCTAAGATCTGTCAATTAACTTTAATTCGGTTTACTTACTGTAATTTTGTCTGAAAGACAGAGCCACCCCAAGGGCAAGCAAGGTGATTATGGCATTTCCTTCCTTGAATTCATGTAACAGCCTGACAATTTATGAACCCAAGAACCCCTTCTGTCACCCCTCCTTTGGCACAACCCCCAGCAGCTCCAAGGAGGTTTTTACTGGACATGTCTACATGAGCAGTAATCTAATAACACAGCGAAGTAGCATGCCTGTCAAAAAACCATGATAATACACTACTGTGCAGTGTTATTAGGCTACTGCACAATAAGCATCACTAAAAAGCCATGCGTCAGTACTACTGCACACTAGTGCAAGTTACTGCACATTGAATTAGTACTTGGTTAATCAAATACTAAACGCACAGTAACTAGTGTGCATTAATGAATGTGCAGATGTCCCTGGAAAAGTGGTTGGTCCCTAAACCAAAGGGTGTTCTGGACTGAATCCCCGCGCAACCTAATTCTTACATGCCAATGGATCCACCCCAATCGTTGCACACATGTCCTGGAACTGGACTCGAAATTGGGGATTTTTACGAATCTCTTGCTTGTGTTTGCTAGCGAACTCTTCTAAGTTAGTCTTAAACATGTCCAGTTGTTTAGACATCTGTAAAAGACAAGTAAACAGTAAGACCTGACAATCACTTTCTATACATATGTACACATATCCACACCTCCCCCCAAACATCACAATGCCTTACTTAGGCAATTCACCACAGGGGTCTTAAATAAGGTGACCACACATCGTAATTTACTGGGTCAGTCATGGATTTCAGAGGCCAGTCCTGGCCAGCTGTTGAGAATGAGAATGGGCATCCTGGACATATGTACACACACACACATACCTCCCCCCAACCATCACAATACCTTACTTAGGCAGGGGTGCAGATTAATTTGTCTCAATTAATACCCTTCACGGAATATTACTGATTAGGGATCGGTACAACAGGTACAGGCACTGCTGCCTGCCCAGCACACCACCCTGCCCCCACTGACTTGTGAGAGTGTGAGGGGAAGGGGGCAAGAATCCCAGATGAATGTCCTGGACTTCCTTATGGTCATCCCAGTCTTAAATGAAGGACGTGACCACAGCAAACTACTCGGGAAAGAAACACAACCGGAAGTCAGGCAATCTGTTACTTGGTGGTGCGCAGGGCAGAAGGAAGCCATTTTAGGCACAGAAGATGCCAAAAAAGGTCCTCAGCAAGAGGAGGATTTGCAGTCAGCAACTCATAGATTTCCACTCTAGAAGCTGGTGAAGCCGACAAGTACGGTGACCAGACTTACCGCCCCATCACCAACCCAAGCCACAACCAGAGATCCCCCCCGCCTGGCACAGCCCACCTCCTCCAAGCAACATCCCCTCCGCCCGAGACACAGCAGGGCCTCACCTGCGCCAGCTGGTCCTCTGCCAGAACCGTCCCACGCTCCTTGTATTTGGCCTGGAAGAGAACAAAGACGATCTGGAGGAAGGGTTATTTAATCTAGACGGTTCACTGCCGGGAGATGTTGCCGGCATGGAGCAGGCTGCTCACCTGCAGGAGCTCCCCCTGCCCCACCCCACCCCTGTTTTACTCTAGGCGGCTCATTTTGCCCGCTTGCCAGGGGCCGGGAATCAGGCGGCCCTGCCAGTGGCCACCGAGGACGCTTCGGGGGCTCGCGGGGCAGAGCTGGGCTGGGCACAGCGCTGCGGACTGTGACTTGAGGCGATGAAGACCCGGGGGGAGGGCACAGCTGGGCCTGGGCGGCTCCGGGGGGCAGGGAGGCGCCGCCGCTCCCACCTCTGCCAGCTTCTTCTTGGCGATGGCGCCCGCGCCCACCCCGCGCCGGTGCATCCCGGCGGCTCACAGCACCCCGGCCGAACACGCCCCACACTGACGTCATCTCTCCGCGACAGGAAGTGGCTGCCCACCTCCAGAAGCCTAGAGGGGCGGGGCTGGGGTCTGTGGCCCCCCCCCCCCCCTCCCCCCCGGCGGGGGGGCCCACCCCACTAGTTTTTCTGAGTGGGTGGCCTGGAGCTGCCCCCACAGTTTGGGGGATGGGCAGCCGCCCCCCTCAGCCCCTGCAGCCGGGGGGAGGTGTTCGGTCCTATCCCCAAAGCCCTGGGAGACGGCTCCCCCAGCTGCAGAGAGGGGGTGACCCCTACAGGAGCCCCTCCGCTGCAGCTGCCTTGCGGCCCCTTCCCTTGCCCCCGAGCCCCTCTGCTTTGCTCCAGCCCCGTGCAGCCTGCTCTCCCTCAGCCCTTATCCCTAGGGTGGCCGTCATAGAGGACAGTCCGGTTATCCTCTGTCTTCTGTTGATACGAAACCTTGAAGAGCAAAACAGAGGATGTAAAGGCATCGGGTTTCGTATCAACAGAGGACAGAGTAGCAGAAAACCAGAACGTCCTCTATGATGGCCACCCTGCTTGGGTTCCCATGCCCAGGGAAGGAGGGAGCCCCCCCCATCCCAAAGGGCCGGGTCTCTGCATGCGCCCAGCCACAGATGTCTCTCCCCACCCCTCTTGCAAATCAGCGCCTGCTCAGTAAGGATGCAATCCCCCCATGCATCCAGCCACGAGTGCTGGGTAGCCCTTTCAACCAGGTCTGGCCACCTGGTTGCCCCTCTGACACCGCCCCTTAGTGATGAAAGGGGACAGGAGGGAGTGGGGTCGGAGAAGATGAGATCCTGCCACTGATGCTTTTTATTCCAAAGAACATTAGGATTTTATGCAGTGGATTCACCTTAATCAGAAGCTGCTCCGCTCTCATCTCAGCACATGCAAAACTTACAAATCGTTCAAGCCTCATGGAGAAATTTGTGACTTTTGTGGGAGAGCCCCTGCATGCTAAATCTTAAAACTAAGACCTTCGCAAGCTTTATACATCCAACCAGGCCTACTCTGTACAGAGGCCACACTCCAAACCACCCAGGGCTCCCTCTCATTCAGCAAGGTGGGAGGAACAGCACCCAAACACTTGTTTGCAAAGCTCTAGCACAGAACTTGCATATTAAAGGTATAAGGGGAACAGGACACACCTGGTTTTCTAGGCATATACATCCAGACTTGCCAAGCCTGGCCGCAAACATCCATACTGCAGAGTCACAAGTGACTTATATATAACCATGTCGCTACATCAGCAATGGTATTGCAGTTACCTGGGTTTGGTGCTAAGATTTCCAGGGGCATATCCAGGGCTGTTAGGACCTCAGTAATTTTCACCAGTCTAAGTATTAGTTCACAATCTGTTGTGGGGGGTTTGCTCCAGCTTGAGGTTGGGCTGACATTATTGCAGCAACATAGAGACCAAATTATGGGAGACAGTGGAATTTCAATGGCCGTTTTATACTCCAAAAGGCAGCGGCAGATCTTAGAGCTGGGGGTTAGTTCACACTTGATGGTAATGTGTAGGGTAGAGACATCAGGGGCAGAATTTCTATTTCTATTTCAATGGACAATCAAAGGGCAGATTGCAATCACCTCTGATTTACCCAACTAAAGTGTGGAAGCAATTTTGTTTCCCCATCTGGGTGTGTGTCACTATTATAAGAATAGGATTGCCCTCCAGACATGCAGATGCCTTCTTATCTCCATAATGCACCCAGAAGAGGTAACAAGATCTCTCCTACAGTTCAGCCAGGTAAGGAAGAGGTGTTTGCAGGCTGCATTTCGGTTGTTCACTAGGCAAAATAAAATTCTTCCCCTAATGCTTACAGCAATCACTGATGAATCAGTGCAGAACAATGAGCTGAGTGGTGGAATCAGAACAGCATGGGGACACAGGGTGACCAGCAGTGGCTTTAGAACTTGCACCTGGTGAAGTAGGCCTTCATGGATCTGTCTGAAGCATTTCCCCCAACCATTCAGTGTCAGGACACTCAAATGAGAGAGGGAGGCCGTGTCAGTTGAGAAGCAAGTTGCCATTGCCATCTTGGAGCTGGTTACCATGGAATGCTATTGGTCCATGTTTAAGCAGTCCCATATAGTGATTCTCAGTCAGGATGCCATGGCACCCTGTGGTATTTTGAGATCCTTTCAAGGGTGCTGTGGAGTGCCACACAATGTTAGCACTGTTAGGTATGTACATGTGAATCATGAGATAAACAGAGATTTCAAATAGGAATCTAGAATGGTAAAAACATTCAGACCTGTTGTAGTCTTTCTGAGTTCTTTGCAACAGAAGAATTGCTTTATTTTTTATTTATTTATTCATTTATTTTTGTAGTCAGAGAACATGAAAACTAAGAGCTAGTATTTTCTAAGGGTGCCTTGAATTTATCCAGGGGTGCATTAAATCTAAAAGCATTGAGAACCACTGGTCTGGTGCAACAAGTCAAGAGTTATATTTTATGGATGTACTGCTTGGAAGGGATTAATAATGTGCTTTGCCCAGGGGAGAGTGAACATAACCAATGTGCCTGAAATAAATGCTAGGCTTGAGAGAATGAGCTTCCAAAACTCTGCTGGGGCTATCAGTAGCACTGACATGCCTAGAGTTTGCCTAGTGCAAGGAGCACAGTTATGTGTCAGCTGTAAAGGAGACCCACTGATAAGAGACTTTATTGAAACAAGTGTTTTCAGGCATCTTATTATCACACCGTTTATTGAGTCTACAAGCATGTTCTGGGAATAGAGCATGTGAGTGCTATAGGGCAAAGTCTAACACTTCCCTTTACTAAGGCAAATTCAGGTGTAGGTCAGGCAAATAACATAATAGCTCCCTATGCTTGCCCTGAATCCTCACAAATACTGCTCAGGCAACCCTGGATATGCTAGCTATTGCCACTCTGTCACCAGTGGCCTGAGCATTCCTTCTGGGACACTACCTTCACTCATTCCCACTAAGCTACAGAGTCCGCTGCTTTGTAGACTGCTGACAATTCCCAAACCAAGAACTGTGCCCCCACCTCCCATGTGCAAATACTGACCCAGCCTGCAGAATACAGTGCTGAAATGAGGCATTGTTGATCCATAAATGTACACTGCATCTCTTTGCATACCATGGCCAAGCTCTGCCAGGCCACCAAAATCTAATCCTTTCAACTATACCACCTAACTCCATTTACACAGAATGAAGACAGCTGAGGGCACATCAATAGATGCTGGAATCTCTCTCTGTGGGTGTGTCTACATGTTCATTAGTGTACCATAGTTGCTGCACATTACGTTTAGTACCTGTAATATAGTACGTACTAACTCAATGTGCAGTAACAAGCGCTACTGTGCAGTAGCGCCAATGCACACCTTTTTAATGATGTTAGTACACAGTAGACGAATTCTACTGCACATCAGCCCATTAGCATGACTTTTGCTGTGATGTGCTAATGCGCTGTGGAATTAGTCTACTGCACATTTAGCGTCTCATGTAGATGCACCCTGTGGGGGACAAAACAAACAAGGGCATGTTCTCCCAGGCTGTCCTCAGATCTGCTTTTTGTAGATTAATGTTTCAAAGCCAAGTAGATCTTTTAGTTTGTATAGTACAGGTCAGAGACTTTTACCTACTTACTTGCCGAGCCCAATCACAGAAATGCATCAAGTCTTGATCTGAAGAATTCAATAGATGGAGAATTAATCACTTCCTCCGGTGGGTTATTACTGTCATCTTTGCAACACCTTTCCCAAACCATTTTTATTGGCTTTTGCCTGCTCTAAGGAGGGCATAATTTAGTTACATTCTGAGGATGGCATTACCTTGATTCCTCATACCCTGAAAACACGAATAAGTAATAGGCAGGGCAATAGTGTCTTTTCATGGTATTAAATAAACACTAGGCTGAACACAGAGCTGGTTAAAGGGACCATTCCTTTGGATCTACAGTCAGTTAAGGGGGTGGCCCCTGGAAGAAACTAAATTGATGGGAGTAGAAACCAAATTGTGCAGAGAGACTAAATACAAATGAAGTTCTTCTGGTGCTGTGGGATAAATAAAAAATGCCAGGAGGTTCAACATGACAGAGGGGTATGAAACAAGAAAGCCAATGGAGGCAGCAGAAAGTGAATCCTGCAGCATGCATACTGATCCTGTAAGATAACAAATAGGTATCACTAGAGGCCCTGGGAACTTCAGGCATCAGTTTAACCACAGAACAGCACAGAGAACAGAGTTATGTGAGCTGTCTACACCTTGTAGCAGGTTGTTTCAGGGACACACTGTAAGCAACTTCTTTAGGACTGATAAGGGTGTCTTGTCAGTCCCAGACCTTTCTTCTGAGTCTCCCAGCAAAGGCAAAAATGAACACTGGGGTATTGTTTGTTTGCTTGCTTCAAAAATGTGCTGTGAACACACATTAACTGCAAAACGACCTAAGGTCGTGTTATCCAGGCCACGCATTTGCCAGCAGAGGTGTATAATGAAGACGTCTTTCCAAGCTGCGCTTCACGCCCTTTAGAGGGGCTGAATTCTGGGTCTAACTTCATGGGGTAATTGCATCAATTTAAGCAAAGTTCCACTTGGTGACATTCATTACTTTTTGTATCAACTCCCCCTCTTGTGGTGAGCTAAAATCCTGAAATGACTAAGGCGTGAATTCAGCACAGCACTTAAGCCTGAGGCCTATGTTCTTTGCTCAATCGGGGCCTAGACAGTTGCAGACAACAGCTTTTTATTCTGCAATGAACTTTAAAAAAAAACACCAGGGTTTATTTTTTGATGGACTTTTCACCTTGGCACTATCTGGCTATAACTGTCAGGATAATATGCAATGTATTTTGAGTGTGTGTGTATGAGAAAGTCCTAGAACACAGGCAAGACAGACAGTTTTGTGATTAAGGTGCAGGATAAACATAGGGAAGACCTTTGTTCTATTTTTTTTACTCTCCCCTGGATTTGCTTAGTGAATCTTCTTACAGTCGGTTATGGAGTAAGGTCAGCAATCACCACCAGGGCTTGATTTTCAGAAGAACTTGGTTGACAAGCACTTCTGAAAATCTGGTTCTTAAGTCTGAGCTGAGCTCTTTTTTTTTTTTTTTTTTTTTTTAAATCAGCCCCTAATTGTGGATGCTAATAGCTTGAAATTTCTGGCCCCTATGTCTTTAGGTCATAGCTGGCCCATGAAAATGAAGCAAAAATTAATCAAGACCCATAAAAATGTTTGGATTGGAAAGAGACACTGTGTTATTTCATAATATAGCTCATGAAAAAAGCTCAGTTGCCTTTCAGCTTCGGACTAAATTCTTTATTGCTCACATCAGCAAAGATCACAATGTGCACAGAGTAGAATGAACACAGAGCGAGGTGACAAGCAAGTTCCCCTTCCTCGTTAACATCTCAAGGGTAAGTAGGTGCAGGCAGCTCCTCCATAGGGTGCTGGGTTATTGAGTTCTGGCAAAACAGAGAACGGGGAGAAGAAACAATTGAAGCCTTTGTGTCGCTATATTTAAGCCTGGCATTTGGCAAAAATAATTCCCTCTGAGCTCCATTCAAATTTGGAGAGGAGTCACCTCTGCTGATCATCCTCAGTTGGGTTCCATGTCGGGATCTCTTGGGTGACACCTTAGAGAAAACTGAAGGTTGGTTTTTACACAGCTGTTAAAAATTTTCTGTTTTCAGCTTTCTTTCTATGGCTTTTCTAAGTGTTGTATCCTTAAACATATGACTTTACATAAGGATAGGAGTCAACCCTATTGTTCTTGGCTATTTACTACCCACAGGTGTATGCTCCTGTAAAAGGCAGTGGATCCCAAGGGTTTGATTCAAAGCTCACTGAAGCCAAAGGGAAGGTTTTTTCCTTTCCCTAGATTCATAGAAAAATAGAACTGGAAGGGCCCTCAGGAAGCCATCTAGTCCCATCCCCTGCTCAAGGCAGGATGATCTGTCAAAACCATTCCAGAGAACTGTTTGACTTAGAAACATTGCAAAGATGGAGATTCCACAACCTAGACTCTAGGTAATCTGCTCCAGTGCTGAACCACCCTCAAAGAGAAACATTTTCTTAATATCCAGCAGAAATATCCCTTGGTGTAGTTTAAGACCATTACTCCTTGTCCTGTCCCCTGTAGCTACAGAGAAGAGTTTATTATTATTACCATCTGCTTTAAAAAAAAACAAAAAGTCACCCTCCTAGTATTTGAAGACTGTTATCAAATTCCCACTTCAGTCTTTCCTTCTTCAGACTAAATTATCCCAGCCTTTCCACTCCTCTCATAAGTCCTGTTTCACAGACACGTAATCATTTCATTGCTCTCAGTTGGATTCTTTCTAATTTGTCCATTTCTTTCTTGACATGAAGGGCCCAAAACTGGACACAGTACTCCAGGTGAGGCCTCACCAGTGCTGAACAGAGTGGAAGAAATCACTTCCCTTGACTTAGAAGACATTCCTGTTAATAAAAGCTAGGGTGCTCTTGACTTTTTCTCCTTTTTATCTTTTTTTCTGCAACAAGAACACACTATTGGATTATATTCAGTTTATGGTCCACCATCCTTGATGACTTACTCTACGATCTTTCTAGATACTGAGGTCAGACTGACTGGTCTGTAATTCCCTGGATCCTCTTGCTCTTTAAGATGGGCTCTATATTTGCCCTTTTCTAGTTGTCTAGGATCTCACACAACCTCCATGAATTCTCAAGCAGAATAACTAATGGCTCTGAAATTACCTCACCCAAATCCATGAGTACTCTAGGATGCTTCCCGTCTGGCCCTGATGACTTGAAAACACCTATCTAAGTAATCTCTAATCTGTTCTTTCCCTGTGCTAGGCTACTGATCTCCCCCACACCCACCCATCGGTGCTGCCAACTGTGTTAGTCTAATAGTTGAAGTCTTTCATTAAGACTCAAGTAAAAAAAGCATGACATTCTTCAGTATTCCCTACATCATCTCTGACTAGATTGCCCTCTGCATTCAGTAAGGGACCTACACTTTCCTTGGTCTTCCTCTTACTTCTGCCTTACATATAGAATGCTTTTTTTGTTGCCTTTTATATCCCTTGCTAGCTGTTTCTCAAATTGTTCCTTGGCCTTCCTGATTTACTCCCTGCATGCCCATGTAATATTCATCCTTAGTAACATTGCCAAGTTTCCGCTTTTTGTAGGATTCTTTTTTTGAGTGGAAGAGTTTGCAGTTTAATTAAACTGATCTCTTGCTGCATTTCCCAGCCTTTCTTTGCATCAGCATAGCCTGCTCTTATACCCTTAATGTGGCCTCCCTAGAGTACAATCATCTCTCCTGGACTCCTTTTCCCCTCAGACTTGTCTTCCATAGGATTCTGCCTACCAGTTACCTGAGTTTGTTGAAGTCTGCTTTTCTGAAGGCCACCGTCTTTATTGTGCTGCTCTCCTCCTCCTTTCTTTAGGCTATCATTTCATGGTCATGGTTGCCAAAGTTGCCTTCCACCTTCACATGGTTAACTAAATTCTCCCTGTCTGAGCAGCAAGTGGAGAAGAGCTTCCTTCTACTTTATACCAAAAAGTTATCCTCAACATACTCCAAAAACTTGCCGGCCTGCCTGTGCACTGCTGTGTTACCTTCCCAGCAGATGTCATGGTAATTTAAGTCCCACATAAGCACCGAGTCCTGATATCTGGATACTTCTGCTAGTTTGGAAAAAGCCTCATCCATCTCCGCCCCATGGTTTGGTTGGTGATCTATAAACAGATGCTCACCATAACAACATCCTTGCTGTCTTTCCATCTTATCTTGACCCAGAGACTTGCAGTATCCCCACATCTTTGTACCATACCTTGGAATCAGTGCATGAGAACAAGGTCACTTCCTTTCTCCCTGATCTGCCTTTTCCCCTACTCCCTTTAACTTGCGCAGTGGCTCCTAGGCTGGTGTTGAATTTATGAGGCATGAACTGCCAGACTGGATTACACCCAGTTGAGCTATTGTCTTTGATAGGAGTGTCCTTTAAAGGAAGGTCTAAGGATACCCAAGCAGACAGAGATGGGATGTTAGATCTCATTCTAATTTCTAACTATTAGGGCAGTGATGTCAAATTGTGGCCCACATCTGATTTGATCTATGGAGCTGTATCGCATGACCTGTGAGGATGGTAGTGAAGCTGGGAACATGGGGAAGGAGCAAATAGGGGTAGGGCCTGCTACCAGAATCCAGGGCATAGAGCCCCACTGGTGACATGTCAGTGACAGGGGGCAAGCAACAGTTACATTAACTTGTGCCACCACTACTCGCCCTACTGTGGCTAGCACTCCCCCTGCCAGATCTGGCCTGAGGGGTGGGGTGAATTTGACACCTCTGCATTAGGAGTGGACTTAGCTCTAAAACAGAAAGCTTAATATCTGCCATCACTGATGATGGCAACTTTGCACAGTCTTAATATTCCTTTAAGTATCTTGTCCCTTTTTGGGAAGGAACATGACTGGGAAGGACTCTATAGACTTGAGTCCAGTCCTTTGCTCTTGAGAGCACCACATCATATATATCCCTTTCATAAAGTGATCAAGCTCTATCTTAAAAACCAGGGAGGCTTAAAACCAGGTAGTGGGGGCAACTGCTCTTGTGATCAAGAAGCTGCTCTACAACCTCACTGCTCTAAGGGTCAGGACACTTTTTTTCTAATTTTAACTTTCCATTTATTCCTTCCCAGTTTATCCCCATTTTATTCTTGTGATAATGTTGTCCTTTTGCTCAAATCTTTCCACTTCCTTGCTGGAGTTTATCCCCAGCTCTATTTTTCTAGACAGTGATCAGATGCCTCTTCCACTTGTGTTTTGCTGAGAAAAACAGGACAAGTTCTTCTAGTCTCCTCTTGTAAGACAGATTCTCCATTTTCCATGATCATCTGAGTCTCCTTTCTCTGCACCTGTCCCCTTTTGAGTTCCTGGTAAGTTCTTGGTCTCAGTGACTTCCTGTAGTAACCATTTAGTCATACGATGTGTGAAAAAGTATTTCCTTTTATCGGTCTTGAATTTCCCACCTTCTGATTTCCTGGAACACCCCTAGTTTTTGAGCTGAGGCAGGGAGACCAGATGTTCCCAATCTCTCTTCTCAAGGCCTGTCAGTCTCATGTCCATCTTCTTAAGGTGGCACAAATATACCTTTGCAGGCACCACCTCTGGCTGTGCCCCCAAGCCTGGCACTCGGGTGGCACAGCTCAGCATCCCACCCTGAATATTAGGTTAAGAAATCTGAACTCTGTGGCCAGAGTAGCACAGCACCGTGTTGCAACTATTTGTAGAAAGGCAAGAAAGAGAACTGAAGAGAAGCATTAAAAACCATGGGAATAGGAACAACAACTCCTCACCTTGGTCTGAGGGGATCAGCAGAAGTCAGCCATGCCAATAACTCCTGGCTCAGAGCATCCTTTGGGACATCAGAATCTTCTGGAAAAGCAAAACTGTAACAAAGGCACTTAGGAGTTAAATTCAACTACAGTTCAGTTTTCAACCAGCTGTTTCTACAACTTACTCGCAATGCACAATGGCTTTCTGTTTGCTTCCTGTTGCAAATGTTTTTGCTCTGTTTCGGGCAACTAAAAGGCATCAGGTTGAAAGACTTGGAGAACAGAGGAAGACAAAGCAGATACAGCCTGGAGTATCAACAGAGCAAGCCATTTCTCCCTCTGCCCACATGCCACAGTGCTTTTCTACAGTCTTGGTTCAGTCTTCACCAGACAATTTTGTCATGTAGCTCTTAGGATTAGCCCTCTTGTCTGCCCAGAGGAGAGGTCTGGAAGTGAGAATATCACTTCCAACATCAAATGGAAAAGACTTTGCCAGACTGGCAGTGATTGGCTTATAAGGGAGCAATGGCAAGAGAATTTCTTAGATTTCATAGGCATTAGGGTTAGAAGGGAAGGGACCTCGCAAGATCATTGGGTTCAGTCCCCCCGCCCAGGGGGCAGGAAGTCTGCTGGAATCAAATGATCCCATCAAGATAATTATCCAAATGTGCCTTAAAGGTGTCCAGAGTAGGTGCTTGCACCATTTCTGGAGGGAGTCTGTTCCAGACTTTGGGAACTCAGACGGTAAAGAAGTTTTTCCTTATGTCCAGTTTAAAACGGTCTTCCCGGAGTTTGAGACCCTTAGACCTTATCTTCCCTTTGGGTGCCCTGGATCTCAGTGGGAAAGTTTGGAGCCTGATTTGAATTGTGTACCTCTGGCTCTTGTATAAATTCATCTGTTCTCTGGCTGCAACTGCTTCATTTCTCCTGAGGCAGGAGCATATCATCTCGCTCCCCTCTCCAGCTACAACTATCTTATGCTACATTATTCTTTGTTAGCTGTATCACTCCATGCTCTACACCTCTATAGTTTTGAAACCTCTTCCTTCTGTTCCCCAAACTCCTAAATAACTCCTAATCTGGACCAGAAGTAGCTAAACCCCCATGGATCCACGGTCCTCTATGTTTTCCCATCTCTTTGCTCAAGGTACTGCTTTGAGTCTTGGTTATTGCAGCAGCCAAGGCAATTCTCCAATTGTTTCCTTCTTAATAGAAGCCCTTATGTTGATGTCTGAGCATCCCAGCAGAACCATAAGCAGTGACAGGCAGTTTAAATTAAAGAGCATTTTGATCTTAATAACTGGCTTCACTTTTGTGAAATAAAAGCTTCAGGAAAGAAGAGGGAATGAAGTGGACATCTCAATGGCTGGGGGTGTTCCTCCTGACTGTAACAACAAATGAAACATGAGCAATTTAACCCCTTCCCAGAATGACAAGCCCTTTGCATTAACACAAAAATCAACTCTCCTTTTTGTAGTCCTGCTAGCAAATATGGGCAAGATTCTACTCCTCCTGTTAAGTGCAGAAGTGGACTTAGTGCCCAAGTGTGATTCTATTCTATCTTGTTCAACCCCCTGAAAAACAGTTAATGCAAAAGATGGGTAGCTCCTCCTTCTCACTGCTTTTCTGTGAGTCTGACTTAATGGTCTGATGGCAGTAGGTTACAAAGGTAGATGCATAAATAGATTTTTCCAGGGGCTTGAACAGGGTGGAATAGAATCATACTGAGGTGCCCAAGTCTACTTGGATGCCTAACTGATGGAATAGAATCTGGCGCAGTATCTGTATATAGACAGGATTTAAGGAGTTCCATGAACTTGGCCACCCCAGAGCTTGATCCTTAAACTACTCCTTATAAATGGAGTGACAGGTGGAATGAATTGACACTTGTGTTCAGAATTCACAAGCAGTGCTTTGTTTTTCAGCAGGACTTTCGGTAGTGTCAGGTTTTTCTCACCAACCTGAACAAGAATCTAATTAGAGACACGGGCAAATATTTTCCAATGTGACTAGTGACTCTGGGTTTCTTGCTGGTTGAGTGCTTGAGATGCCCCCGTGCTGGCTGGTGTGCTTGCAAAAATACAACCATAGCCATACCCATTCTCCTCCATGTTCTGTTCCTCCCCAACTATTTGTTCATGACTCAAGGACCATGTACAGCAAAGATGCTAGTAAACTTATTAGAGCAGTGTAATGAGTCTTTATTTCCCTGGGACACTACATTAGGGCTAGTTAAAATCTACCTTATTAGAGACTTTGAAAAAATCATCTTACAATAATCATAACAACAATCATAATAACATTTACCACTATTATCAATATAAAATAAAATCACTGTCTCCATAATTTTTTAAAACACAAAAGTTTGTCATCGCTGGTCTTCTAAAATGTGAAACTGGCAATTGACAGACTGTGCAACTAACTAAATTGTTTTCATTGTCCAAGTTGACCGAAGGACAAAAAAGCCAATTAAAGGGCACAAACCAGAAAAAGTTAGAGATAAAAAGTCCTGTTAGATCAGCCAAGCAACTCCCTTGTGTAATTCCATGGACACTAGATAGCATCCCTTTCTCTCGTAAGATTATTAGCTTTTATTAGTAAGCAAGAATTTGTATTTTATAGAGCTAGTCCAAAGGAAAAAAAACAAACAAACAAAAAAAACAGTGGATATTTTCCCCAACAGAAGATGATGATCTGATTAAATCAGAACATTTTTCAGGAATTTTTGCATCAGTTTTATTTTATTTTTTTAAATTGAAACATTTCATTCTGATAAAATCAAAATGTTTTACTCTGATAAAGCTGAAGTGCTTCTTTTAAACTTGTTTCAACTACTGTTATCTTATGCCACACTGCCCTGTATTATAAAAATGAACCTTATTGGAATGAATATTTCAATCAGGGATTTTTGTTATTTCTAAAATCGTTTTTGCAGAATTTGTTTAATGGGAAATTTCAGAATGTCAGGGATTAAAGTTCAAGATTAAAGAAAATAATGAAAGATGGAGTTTCATGTAGGATAGAAATTCCGAGTTTTGACCAGGTCTAATTTTCAATGCTGCTTTATCATCTGGAAGGGGTGCTTCAAGAGACTCAAGCACAGGGGTCTTGTCCTTCAATTGGGAGATTCTTCCACAATTCAGTAGCTCTTTACATCGTATATCTTACCTCTGCTTTCTTTTGTTTTTTAGAAGCCAGACAAAGAAGTCCTTAGCTTGCTGGGAGCCCAGCTCCAAGCCATAGCTGTTTATTTGGGGTTCAGCTTCCCTCTTGTAGGGATCAATAGCGTTACTGAAAAGGCAAAATTCAGAGGAAGTGACCATAGGACTCCACTAGGGGGGGCTAAAATGCTTCTCTTTCCTAAGATCTGACTCCCTTCCCATCCCCCATGCCATCTACCAGCAGTACTACAACCTCACATAAGAAGCCTTGGGTACTGACAGCGAGATTCTTGCTGTCTGGCCATTGGATAGAGACACTTCCTGGCATTCACAAAATAAGCCCATGGATCATCACTGCTGTCTATCCCAGCCTCTACATCACCTACAGGTTTCAGTAGCCTCAAGCTTGGTTAATAGAAGCATGAAAAAGTCTACACACTCACTCATTTTTCATCTCTCTCCTAGCCAGCAACCATTCCACAAAGTTCTTCTTGATCATGTTGTCTATGGTGCGGCTATAATCACTAGCCAGAATGGCCTCAGAATAACGTCTCTGCAAAACTCTGCTGCTGGGACTCTTCGTGTTTCCACTGGGAAAAAGAAGGGAGATGGAGTTAGCCATGGACAGACAGAGAGAGAATGTTTCAAAGGCTCTCGCTTGTGATTTGAGGTGGCTGCCCAATTTGGCCACTGTCATTAGAGATATTTCATGATCCAGTTCAATAACCTGATAGGCACAAGGTGCTTAGTGGCTGCCCTATTCCTTCTTTCCTTCCATCTCACCAGGATACAGTAACTCTTACTAACTTATATGGGATTCATACATACTGGGCGAGAGGAGGCAGTATCACAGTCTTAAAGAGGTCAGGAGCTACATACATTATACTCGCCCACTTTATGTAACTGCTCTATAGTTTCAAAGTGTCAGATTGGTGAATTCCTATTAGCTTCTCAGCCAGAGGAAGGAAATCTCCATTTTGTTCCTGACCAGCCTCCGTTCTCTTCCTGGTTCACTTGCAGCTCATATCCCCCAGACCAGTGCAATGAGATTTGTAGTGAGGTCTCGATACTTGGCTACCATCTCTAGTCTGGCATTCCTCCTTACAGCTGATATTTACAAGCTCTCATTGACACTCTTATCTCAGGTGCATTGGAAGACTGTGAATCTGACGTGGAAGTGATATGCCCAGAGAAGTCAATGAAACTCTCCTTGATCTCAGGGAGGAGCTGGAACAGTGTACTGAAAACACTTACCTGGTGCGGTTCTCCGCTGTCAGAACGAGGCTCAGAGAGGCAAGGAGGAGGGGGAAAACTTTCAAGGCCAGCATTTTTCTGACTTGTTTTCTCTAATCAAAGACAGAAAGCAACACAGAAGGCTAATTCTTTTCATGCACAGCAGGAAGGAAGTAGCATAACAGGAATAGTGGGCCAAAAGGTGAAGTGGGCTTGTACACATGTACGTATGTGACTGTCACACAAGTAGCCATGTCCCTGCTTAGAATGGCTTTTCCCCTTTTGAGGTATGGTGTGATCCCTACCACTTTTGCTTCCAGGATTTTTGCTTCTAATGCTGATTCCCTCCCTAGGGCTGACAGTAATACATTTTGCACTTCTTTCATTCACAATATGACCATCTTATTCACTGGAGAGTGCAAATCCCTGGAGGCACATATACTGACTTTCTGCAGATTAGCAAAAGGGTTCTGTACACATAGGCAGATTAATGCATGAGCCAAACAGGCCCAGGCCCAGGGTCCCATGCTTGGTGCAGATGAAACCAGTGACCCCAAAGGGCGGCAGGCCATGGCTGCCAGGTGCTGTTTGCTGGGTGCCACTTCAGCCAGACTGAGCCACTGAAGGGCGAGGGGCCACCCCTGGAGCTCAGTCTGTGCTACATGTGCCTGGCGGGGAGCGGCTCCTCACCCCAGTTCAGCTGGAGGGGCAGGGTGAGGGTTGGGGGGCCCGGGGCTCCAACGAATCTTAATCCATCCCTGTCTGTACACCTTCAACACTTTAGGGACTGATCCATGTCTCAGTGAAACAGTGGGAGTATTTCTGTTGCCTTCAATAACTCTGGATCAGGCACTTATAATGGTATCTTGACCAGGCCAGCCCAAGGGTAATTGGTACCTTAGGCAAACTGTGTACCTCAGCTCCCCCACCACTTCCAATATGTCTTTTAGGATGATGTTGCCAGCAGTATGCTCTTGTCATAAGACCACTTGAGCACTGAAAAGGTAGGAGTCATGAGGGGAATATGAGAGAGCTGTGAGGTGCACTTAAAGCCATGTCCAATCCCTTGATGTAGCTGTATGGAGGTCACCGGGAGCTGGAGCTGTGATGGTGGATGATTCTAGCAATCTTTCCTCAGAGATCTTTTCAGAAGTCCTTCTCCCCTTACTAAACCAAAGGTCTTAGTCCAAGGTGCAGCCGTAACCAGCCAGGTCTTTTATTTAAAATGATGCTCCTGTTATTTTGTTCTGCATATAATTTTGGCACCCTCCAAATTTTGGCACCCTAGGTGACTGCCTAATTCGCCTAATGGTTGGACTGGTCCTGTATCTCGATATCCACATAACACTTCTGTAGGGATTAAGAACCTGATCTGATTTCTGTTTAAGTCAATGGAATGTTTTTATTGAGTGTGATCAGACCTTAAATAAGGACATGAGCCAAACTTCATTGAAGTTAGTGGAGAGACTTCATTACTGAGCCTCCAGCAGATTATTCCATTAATGGGATCCAGCTCTGGATCCTTCCCCAAGATGTTTTCACCTTAGATTGCTTTTTAGGTCATGTGACCTTGTCCCTATTCGAATTCACTACCCCTCGTACACTGGACCCCTTTGAATGACTCACTCAGCTCTGCAAACACTTTTCAAGAACATTCTTGCTTATTCACTATACAGACAACCAAACACATTCCAAAATAGATTTGGTTGTCCAATATTTCACTCTCTTTTTAAATATTTTTAGAATATTTGCAATGTTGAGTTTTAATATTAACAGCCACAGTAGTAAGAAAGACAAAAGAAATATCAGGATGGAACAGGTATGTCAGGATTTAGTTGCTCAGTCCTGCAATCATTTATGCATGGGCATATCTTTACTCCATAAGTATAATGACTTACTATTCTTATATTTTCACAAGATTAGAGGCTTCACTGTGGTTTACAAAAATTGTGAAAATCAAAGATGCTTTTTAGATGTTTTTGTAATTCACACAGTGTTCACTTCTAGGAAATCAGGACATTTAAAAATATTTCTTGCAGTCCTTTTAGTAAGAAATACATTTGATGCAAGACCTCTGCATTTATCACCATCAACTTAGCAGCGTTTAAATCAAAGGTGTTGTGCTCACTGAAGATGGACAACCACCCTAAAAAGTTTGCATCCAAAACAGTAAGGCAAATAAGGATGTGCTAGCTACAGAAGCAAATGGCAGTAAACTCTTAAAGCTTTTTGAATTAGAGAGAGAGAGAAAAAGAGAGAGTTTAAGTAACAGTGACTATTCCCTCTTTCATACAATTTGATTGCACATATTGGGATGATAATGGATTTGAAAATAGTTAAATTGGTGGAAGAAAATTTGTGTACCTGAAAGGAATCTTTTGTCTAGAGAAAATAGAAATAGAATTTTAGAATTGATGGGGGGGGGGGGGGACTCAGTAAGCAGAGGGCTTATTTCATCAGATGTTGTGAAGGGACTACCTTTAACCACATGAACACATTAAAATGATAAAGTGTTTTTGTGATGAGCAATAATGGCTTGCAATGGTCCTGTTCACAGTGAAATAAAACCCAAAAGAAACACTGGGGGCAGGAGAGAGTCAACAGCAGAGAACCCTCTTCCTGCACACTTAAAAGCAGGCAAAAGTCTGACATAGTCAGAATAGTGAGTGACATCTATAACTTCACAGGATATGGGTAGAGGGTAGCAACTTGGATGCTCTTAGGATGGGGGTGGAGAGAGAGAGGCTTTTTAAGAGGGGGGCAAACTCCCTATCAAGCAGAAAAGGTTCACAGTTTTAACACAGCTAGAAGAGAAGAGCCAATATGAACAAATCCCAACAGGAAATTCCACCATCCTCTTTTAGCAGAGTGGGACTACACCCCTGGACTTGTAAGGTCAATGGAACATTTTGCTCTTGGCCAATTTTGGGATTCTGTGATAAAATAAAATGGTGTGCAATAGGATACCACTTGCCTTCCTTTCTTGAAAGTTAATAAAATTTAAGGAATTTATTTTCAGTCTTTCAAAGAGAAAAAAAGCTTCACTTTATAAAATTTGACCTATTTTTTAAAAAAATAATATGGGGGGGGGGGGGGGGGGGGACACATGTTAAAGTATTCTTAGATGATGCTGAATTTACTCAAAAAAGGAGAAAGAGTTCTAAGCTTAAGAGGCATTATGAAAATAAGCACTGATGTTAACATAATTATTTTAACAATATGGCAAGATTGGTCCTTTCCATCTTGGGTCTTAAGTCACTGGAGGATCTCAGGCTCTGAATCTGAAAGCTTCCAACGCTACCATACATTGCACAGGGCATGAACAGGACTCCACCATCCCCATCCAGCATACCATTTGCCAGACTATCTTCCCGGCTGTATTCCTATAGCTAAGCCTTCCCATATGGGTAGGTGGTGGCCCTCCAAGGAGGACCAGTGGACTATGTGCCATTTAGACCAGACCCATTTACCTGTGTGACTTAGTGAACACCTTCCTTCTCAACTCTCTCTGGCAGAGCAATTTGGACCTGTTACATGGTTATTTTGGGCAGCTTCTGAGTTCTTAGCCCTTATATGCACATTGACACCTTAAAGTGGCTTAAACCACTTGTTATGCAGCTCAAAGTTATGCCACTCCAGGGCAAGATTAGCTCTGATCTGCACAACCCAGTTCCTGTTCCATTAACATGTGGCTACTTCACACTGATGTGCCATTCAAGTTGAAGTTCTCCAGTATCTCAGGATGCAGCGGTCTCTCCCCCACCCTCCTGTTCTGTGGACAAACTTTCCATCCCCAGAACTCCTACAGCTCCTACTCCTGCCCCTGGTCACCAGGCCTCCAGTGGCAAGTCACAGCTGTGCAGGTGGGGGACAATCAGAGAAGGTTTCTAGACCAAAGGTGTGACTGCTCCAAACTCCAAGCTAGCACTAAATTGATCAATATTTGTGTGGCTCATAGCATAAGGTATAATATAGCCCTTAAATGCCATGGCCAAAGTCACATAGGACTGCTCTGGTGACATACAGAAGCCATAAATAGCATATAAAGAAATGACAGAGAATTCCCCCACAACACTGGCCCTCCATAGTTGCCCTCAGTTGCAAGCCTTCTGGAGGTACACTAAGGGAAAAAAACTTATTATTGGAAGAGGTAAGGCCATGATGCATTCTAGCTGTTACCACAAACTATAGGCAGCACTGGGGAGACTCATAATTTACACACCCCTCCTCCCAGGCTCCCTCATTACATATGAGCATGTTTTGGCCCCCTAAACAGTTAAAAACTTGGAGGACACACAAGATGATAGTCTCCCAGGCTTCACTGTCCCCTCCTTCCCCCCCAGTCCCTTTGACTGTCTCTTCTGTGCTGAACTGCTTGAAGGTGTAGAATCCAACCCCAGATTTCTTGAGTGACAGCTCCTAACCTGAATCAATGGTATGTTCCCTTTTCAGAATTGTAAGGACCTAGCTGAATTTTTCTAGTTCAGTCAGAGCAATTTTAGCATTGCTTCTGCTGTGACAAGCAACGTGCTCATACCTCTTCACCCATATCAAGAGATGGTTAACCATGGGTACAACCTCCTTTTTACAACTCCTTCCACCTGCAGTACTCACACTACCTTCCCTGCCTCCACACTATTAATTTAGAGAAGCATTTCAAAGAAAAAAAGAGGGAGATTGGAATTGTACTTCTTACCTTCCTGACCCTCTGATTTCCATAGATCCTGGTGTCAAATCAAGGCTCTTCAGACTCTTTATATTCCACAGGTGCAATGGACCAACCCTATTTCCATGAAATAAGCAGGAAATTAGTCACCTAATCAGAGTAAATCAAAGCCACTTAGATCAGCTCCATTAGGTCCACTGACCTACTGAGCAGGAAAATAACCTTTTAACGGGTGTTTACATTAATGGCAATTAAGCACTGCAATATCACAACGTTAAGAATTAACTCACATTAGGGCTATAATATGCATGGCATAAACTATGTGATCTTAAATTCTGCATGGTACCACCTTTCACCTGCCAGGACTGAGAAACTGAGGCAAATGCAAATGGTAGCTGGTGATGATTCTACAGAGAGTGGGTCTGATTCTCCTCTCTTTTCCACTGGGGTAAAGTAGGAGTCATTTCACTAAAGCCAATTGTGAGTGCCTAAGGCCCCCTCCAAATGTTAATTAAATACCATAATTAGGATCTGACAAATTTTAACTCCCAAAAAATATCATATCCATGGCGGAATGAATGATTGTTTGACTCTGTAATCACATGTCTGTCAGAGCATGCAGCTGGCTGCACCCTTACACCTGAGTAGAGGGAGCTGGGGATTGGAGACCTCCTGGATACCCAGTTGCCCATGCCCAACAGGTGCAGGCCATTGCATGTGACCTGGTAAAAGTTTGTGGTGCCTTTAATGGGAGATCCTTAATCCACAGTACATTTGCAGCTGCCTGCACATGTGCCAAGGTGCAGGTAGCTGTGGATTGGGAAGTTCCCCAAGCCCCAGAAGCTATAGCCATTTGAAGGTCTGCAGCATGGGTGGCTGTGAATTTGGGAGCTCATTGACACAGAGCTGCCTACACCTCGCATCTTGAAATGGCACATGTACAACCTGTGGCAAGTAGGCTGTGGATTGGGGAGCTCATTGATCCACAGCTTGCATGCAGCTGGCATCACGAATGCCCATGACAGCTTGGCACCACAGGTATCTAGGAAGGGTGGAGCTAGGAAGGCACCAGCATGCATGCTGACAGCTTTATGCACACCAGGCTGTGGACAGCTGGGGAATCGAGGATGCCCCTGTGTATGAAGAACCAATCGACTCCCCTGCATGGGGACCTTTAAAGCTCCACATCATTGGCAACATGTAGGGGGTGCATGTGCACCTCCTGAACTTGGCAGTGCACCCCCTGAAAAAAGTGCTGCTGATGCTGCCAGTGGCGCCTGCGGAAGGTCGCCACTTGCCACCTCCCCCCCCACCAACAACAGCACCAGTGGCATCTGTGGGCGGTCCCTGGTTGCCACTGGCTGCCACTGCTGCCAGTGGCATCTGCAGGTGGTCACTGACCATGGTCGGTGCTCACCACTGCCAACACCACCACGGCTGCTTATGAGAGCTCCCCACTCACTGCCAACACGCCCCCGCTGCTGACACTGCCACTGCTGCCTGTGGGCAGTTACTATTCCCCCCCAGCCTCTGGGGGCACACAGCATTCATGCTCCACAGTACAGCCCAACATTAGTTTGCACAGCATAGTTTTAAATACCCCTGAGCAGGGGGAACTATCTTGGCCTTCCCCTGTACCAACAAGATTAAACTCCACCATGCACCCAGCATCAGGCTGCATTGTAGAACTTTAACATGTCATGCATTCAAATTAAACTGAGATACAAACCACAAACAAAGATGTTCCACATAAAACTGTGCATTAAAAATACTCATTGAATGTGGAACATCTTTGTTGCTGATTTGCCATTTTTATTGCAGGATAACTTGTCTGAATATGTGGCATGTTACCAAAAAGTTGCAGGACACTCATTCTTAACTTGCAACAAATGTAATATCTGGAAGGAGTCTCAGAATCCCCCTTACAAAATGCTGTGCAAACTCTGGGTAAAAAACTAGTCTTTGTCCCAAAGGGCTTACAATCTAAGGCAGGAGACAGAAAAGTTTAAAGAGATGATCCCTGTCAAAATGACAGGTAGGCACCACCCACACACTGGCAGCCTAGACAGAGTCACATTTTTTTTTGTATTGCATCACAGCAAAGAAGAGTTTTAAGGAGGGATATGAAAGAGAACAATGGAGTGACTGTGTAGCTGTTTATGGGAAGCAAAAGGGGCAATGTGGAAGAAAGCATGAAGGCAGGTGGTTGAAAATTTAACAAGGATGGAGGCTTGTGTCATGGATCTAATAGAGCCAGAACTTACCCTCTCAGCATTGAATGGGGAAGAGTAAGGGTAGGCTGTGAAGGGCCACGGAAGTAAGGATACATGGCTTGTGTTTGATGTGATAGATAGGGGAGAGCCAGCAACAGGGCACAACGAGAGGGGTGACCTGGTCAAAGGAGCAGGCTCAGAGAATGTTCCCCACAGCCATGTTCTAAATGGATCCAAGCAGTGCAGGACTGCATTCAAAATGACCAGAGAAAAGGATATTGTTGCAATCCAAATATGAGACAGGGAGAGCCTTGGCAAGTTTTAGCTCTGGGAAGACAGAGCTGTATCAGAAATGTTTTTTTCCCCCCAGAAAGAATTATTTCAGGTTGTCTGGTTCTCTCTCTCCTTTACACTTGCATTAAAAAGTTCCTCACCCAGCACAGAGATGCCACAGGATGCCCTAATCTGCCTCCCTGTGCAGCCCTGTATATTGAGAAGAGCCCCTCTGGCCTCAGGGAGAGACAGAGGTGTAGCTGGAGTGTTTTGTGCTGCAGCTATTCTTGGCCAGTAGGACAAGTTATACAAGAGCTCCGTAACTTAAAGCAGCCTCTAGGTTACCTACAAGCTCTTATGTGGATGCAGTTACACTGTGCAGGAAAGGAGTAAGCTATACTGGGAAGAGCAATATTTACACTAGTCTGTGTTCATACTAGGGGCTGTACCGGTTTAACTGCACCAATATAAACTCACACCCCTCAACATCATTACTGTATGAAAGGCTGTGTAGACCAGACCTAAGGGAGGAAATAGGTACCTGTCTTGACATTTAAATGTTTGTTACTAAGCAGTTGGATGATTGTTTGGGGTCTCTGCAGACTAGGTTGCCTATGTGATGAGACTGTTGCTGCTTTTACTGTGCCAGTTAAAATACTAGAGATCCTTGTTGTAGCTATAGGCAGTTATATCATCTCCCTGGATGACAGAAGTCCCAGGTATGGAAATACATATTTTTATTTTAAAATACCACACTGGTCACATTTTCTTGAGATTGTCTTGGCTGCCGTAAGAGAAAGTCAGGCCCTGCCTCGACTTGAAAGGGATTGTTGTTGTGGCTATAGCAGCACATCCTGCTAGGCTGTGTCTACACTGCTAATACATACTGACAGGGCTCTGTCACGCAAGGGTGCAAAGTTGTGTGATCCTGGATCAGCACAGCAGTGTTAGCGGAAGCAATTACGCTGGTGAAACTGCCCAATTACCAGTGATAGAATCATAGAAAAGTAGGGCTGGAAGGAACCTCTAGAGGTCATTTAATCCATGGGTGGGCAAAATATGGCCCGTGGGCTGATTTTACACAGCCCACAGCTGCTCCTCTGAAGGAGAATTGTAGTTCACACATAGCTGCCCTGGCTTTATGTGCCTCTCACCCTTCTCCCTTCCCCATGTCAGCCAGCAGCACCAACCACAACCACTCTCCTCCCCCCCCCTCCCCCTCCCCCCCCCCCC